GTGAATCCATATCTGCTCCTTCAGTTCTAGTGGTTTTAGAAGGTAACAAAGTTGGGGTGATTTTGAGTAAGTTAGAATGAAGATCCTGTGTAGTTCCGTGGGAGTGTTAGAGCCTCGGTTTGTTTTCAGTTTTTTATACTTCTAAAGTCTTGTAGCAGTCTCTATCTTGATGATGTGCTCTGATGTGTCCAAAATGACGGTTATCTTTCCTTTATCCGCTGGGAATATGATGACTTCATTTTCCTACATTTTTTCGATAGTCTGGATCCTTTCTCTAGGTTCGTAATGTCTCACATCGATACATGGGTATCAGAGCGTTAATGGTCTACTCTTTTTCAATCTTGTACTCGTTCACAGTGCAATTTTAAAGTTTAGGCCTTTGGCAAACAATTTTTTATTGTAAAGTACACAGCCTTTATAAATGATTACGAGCCATGTAATCAGTAATTTTGTTTGGAACAGTAATTTTATTTCCTTCATGTTGGAAATTAATTTTCATTCTATTCAATCAATCAACGATCGCATTATCCCTAGAGTAGACGTAACGGTTTGTTATTGTTCATTGTAAACGAATCATTAATATTGGTGACGCCAAGATTTAGGGATTTTTCGTTGCCAGTACCAGCTCTGCAATGTTGGTTGTCTAAGCTCTGCGATCACGTGACTTGTAAACATTATGAAGGCTCTGTATATGTAATATAATCATATATTCTCCTGATGGTTACAAATTGTCCGCATAAAAAGCAACAATAACTCGTTAATCAAAGAAAATATTTCTGATGCATACGAAATTTTAAGTAGTGATGAAATATATATTTTTCCTACCCCGCCTTTTTCAGAATCAATCACGTTAAAAAAGTTATTGTTGAAACGTGACTTCTGAAAACGGTTCTGAAATTAACTGAGGGGGTGTTCCTCGTATAACATTAACTTGACAAAAATATTTTCGTGAAAAATAATACCGTTTAGGCCTAATAGCTCTGTAAAAAATTTGACACTGCCTGCGGGACCTTTGATAAAGTAACAGGTTACGTAAAGTGTAGAAATTTCCAGAAAAAATATCGAGGTGATCTATAATATAAATGTCAGACAGAGAGTAATAGAGCGAAAGCAGGATAGAAATGTCTGCACAGAACGACGTTAATCAAAAGTTTATTCATCTTCTCCCCCTTTACTATTCTAAATTGTTTCCACTACAGATTAGAAGATCGAATTAAACAGGTTTTCGAAATAAAAGATTTCCAATTGCTATTGTACTGAAATGTAGTAAGTAATAATAGTATACTAAGAATTAAGGTCAGTAAGACATTTAATTTCCCCAGTACCTATGACGTTTATAACGTTTTTTGCGCGCTCAAATATTGAATAAATTTAACTAAAATTAAAAATTTTTATATTTTAATAATATGTAAAACAAACAAGTGGTACTCAAATAGTTTTTTTTTTTCTAATTTGATTTTTTCTTACTTCAATTTCAATTTGATTCCAAGTCCGAATAATAAGACAAATAATATGAAAGATAGAGAACTAAGATTGAAAAAGAAATACGTCGACCTAGTAAATAACTTATCCTCAAAATCGACAAAATTATATTGTGCAAAACCGTACTTATCTTATCAACTTCGACGTCACCTGTTACATGAGTGTTGTATAATAATGAAAAAGTAATATTAACGATCGGTAGAAGGAAGCACAAAAAACAAGCGCTTAGGTAGGAAATTCTGGAAGGAGGCCTGTTAGTTGAAGATAGGCAGTTGAAGTGAGAATAGCGCGAAGTGAAAAGTAAGACAATCAGTGTAGTGTGAAAAATATAGAAGTAGTGGAAAATTAAGTGTTTAACCGGTATTAGTTAGCAGGTAATATTCTTTAAGTACTTTGTTGTTAATTGTTCTATGTAACCTTATGATTGTGATGTTTATAGATGTTTCAAGATAATAATTCTTTGTATGTTTAGCTTTCATTGTCTTATGCTAAAGGGCATATATTTTTCTAAGGTAAAATGGTTACAATTATTATTAAAGATTGTTCATTATTTATTACATCTTATAATATGTATATTTTGTCGTGACTGCCCAGATATTGCAATAGCAACTTCTTTGTTTCACTTTTAACTTGTTTTATCACGATTACGTTGTTCTTTGATTTCTTGTTCTCACTTTATGTCATACGCATATAAGAGCTTTGTTGAATTTACTAACATTTTCGCCCTTGATTATTATTATTGTTGTTGTTCTCCGAAATCTCAACTATAGCTGGATTGCCTCCCGTATGGGACTCCAGTACCTTACCTATTATTATTATTATTGTTGTTATTATTGTTGTTGTTGTTATTATTATTATTCTAACCTCTTCAGTTTTACTTGGAAGTGTGTATGTCTAATTTGAGTGAGATGACATTTAGTGAGAAATTAAATAAGTCCAGTTTTAATTATCATTAGCAAAGGTTCTTAATGTATGCCTTTGGTTAGCGGTTGTTTTGTATTTATATTTGGGTGGTAAGAGCAACGATCGTGGGTTTCTCTGCCATGCTCTTTCCCCACAGGAGCTCTAGGTGAGCCTGGCACTCTCATTCTATGTTAAATGGTTGTTAATGTTTTTGTTGTTCATTCTATTTGTCACATGTTTAATTTGAAGAATATTGTATGTAAATAATAAAGTTAGGTGTATTTGCTCTGTTTTTGTTTTATAAAGTTAAACCATACATCCCCTCAAAAAAGGTTAGTAACCAGCGCCTTCCGGTCAATATAAAAATAGATACACACAACGTAGGTATTCCTTATGACGATCACATATTTTTGGCCACAACTACGTTTATTTATTTTTCTGAACGAGTTGTTATACTACAATATCAGTATGTGAAAGCGATTAATAAAAAAATAGAGCGGAAATTGTTGTGAAACAATGTATTAAATTATCAGAAATAAATCGAAAAGATTTTAGAAACGAAACTGCCTGAATTTTGTATATGCAAAAGAAGCAAAAGCATACAATTTCGTGAATTTCGTGACCAAATTTGTAATTTTAATTTAAATATGAAATTTTAGGCGCGAACTCGAAATGTCGTGCTGTACAGTCGAAATTTCTAGTTTTAATTTGAATTTTCAAAACAAAAAATATTAAAATAAAATTGTGGCCCTTCTACGCACTAGTAATTTATTTTTATTTAATATCAGTGTTAAAAAATCATCTGATGGCTAATTTTCGTGGTTTGTGTAATCATTGTAATTATCAAGCACATGGCACATTGAATTCATTAAATAAAGGTCTTTAAAGTATTCCTGTTTCTAATGGTTATACACTGTAAAAGAATCGATGTGAGTGAAAGCAATAAAGGTTCGGAGTGAATCCATTGAGGGAAATTATTGAGTACATTTTCATCATTTTACTCATGTATAAATATATTTAAACTAAAACTGGGTACTTTCATTCAAATATATTATATATCCTTAAATAAATTCTTCAAGTAAACTCGTATTTGGTGTACTTTTGCCTAAATCAGAGTAAATGTCCTCATTACTAAGTGATCCCACCCTTTTTCATATCCAGATGCATTGTCTTTGTCTGTTCCCATCATCCCATTGGGTTACCTCGTGACCGTGGCGTGGTGGATGGCAGTAAGGAGTATGGTGTGCTTTAGAGTTGGACGTGTATCGGTTTATCTGGTTATTTTAGTGAAAATTGTATTTAAATGCAGTGATTTAATTACAATTAAAGACAATATAATAAGTCTCGATTAATATTTGGTTAAATAAACGGATAGTTAAATTGCTATCTATAATTACGTATTTGTAACGTACAAGATAGGTTATGGCAATTTATTTATCCGATCAGTGAACCAATCGAGATCTAGATTAGTGTCTCTAAAACAAATCTGTGTTGAAACCACCATTACTGTTTAGTAGTTTATGACAATGATATTTAAATTAACATTTCCAGAAAATATAAAGTGGTGAAAAACCACAGCAAACATTAATAATTTGAAAGCATTTATTAAGTAAATTGTACACATTAGTAGACCTAATTTCAAATAATATGGCTTTTATCCAAAAATTATACGAATTTAATAAATTACAAAAAAGTTATTACAAAATACCGATTTTCATTTCTTAACTTCAAGGATTAATGTGTACTATCAGGAAAAATTTAAATTTGAGACATTATCTGTACAACATCTCTCCTAATTTGAAAGAACACGCGTCTAAATTAATGTCAACACTGTAATTAATCACTTATGAGTGATTTATTTTTGCACTCAATATTTAGTTAATTAAAAACCAATAGTTAAATTTAAATCATATTAGAGAAAAAAATAAGCTATAAATTGGTTTTATATACTCAGAATAGAGTCAAAAGTCACTCATTTGATAGTTATCAGTAACACGGATTTGAGTAAAACTCATTCATTCATTTCTGATGAAATAGTTTCACTCAGTTGTACTCATACTAATAGAGTGAAAATTTCACTCAATCGGGTGTGGATAGAAATTGATACATTATTGAATAAAATTGAGTGAAATTTGAGTGAAATTTTTTTACAGTGTACCTACATATATTAGAAGATATCTAAATATTAATAAATAGTGAATTGAACAAGCTTCATCACGACTGCTTATTACTAATATTCAGATCTGTTAACTCAATTTTTATAAGGATTTCACTTGAAAAAAACACTCCTTCAAATGTATAAATAGGACAACTAATCTATTGTGGCTAACTTTCTTGTTGGTCCATAGTAAGTAATGTTATAATTTTAGGAATATAAACAGAAGATAATGTTTTTGACAACTTAACAACATAAACATTTTAAAATACCAGGTACCTACGTGTTTTTTAATGAACACCATTGGGTAGATAATATTTTTTTACTCATTTTTTAAGGTATTTAGCTACTTCACACAAATTCAAAAATTCTTATCCAATGAAGTCTTCGACAACAGACATCTATAGGTATGCCAGAGATATTCAACCTCACAGACTGCTGAGCTAACTGCTGATCCTACGGAAAACAACTACTCCATGGGCTACATGGTAAAGAGTAAAAAGTGAGCGAGTGAGAGCTAGTAATAGAATATATGTATTTTTGAAAGATAATATATTTTTTGTTTAGGACTTAATTTAATGCTCATTTATTAACATTTTTAAAATTAATTTGATTTGCTGTTAAATCTTTGAACTAAAGTAAGTAAATTTACAAGAGCTAAAAATGGAAAATGTACAAATTAAAAAAATAATACGATTTGGTTAATACCTATTTCTGGTAAAATTCTCTTTAATAGTGCAGGTGAAAAGTAATTAAAACTGACCGATTTTAAGCTACCAAAAGTTGTACGCCTAAATATGAATGAAGTGCTTAGAATAAGAGCATCGATAAAAAGTTCTCGTGAATAAAACACAATCCACTGGGAGCTTTAAAAAATTTCTGGGATACCCTCAAGCGACGCAAGGAGTAAACTAGCGACATAAGGGAGTTCTGAAATATTTAAAGTTGCCGTAAATAATTCGTAACGTCAGAGGGGTGTAGGTACTAAGATCGTGCTTATTTTTTTCAAGGTGTTTTAGTGGAAGCTTTTAAAAGGGTACAAATATTTCTTCTTTTAATCCGTTACTGTTACAAATTATTACCGGATCAGGTGATTAATTAAAGTGGATTAAGTTACTACTAGGCTATAATTAAAACAAACAGCATGGAATGTTTCCTACGTTAAGAATGGGATGTAGCTCAATGGGAGATCCTTAGAGGGCGCTACTTACACCTTACCGATGAAGTAAGTGCAAACTTTTTTCTTCTCAATGAATACGGTATACCTATTAGCTGAAAGTATACTTAGAACGATATTATTTAATATTTTTATTAAAAAAAAACTGTGGTTGCAGCAAGTTATATTTTTTGCAATTTTAAATGCAAACTAGTTGAAAATGCCGTTTGTTTGTGAATGAACCAATTTTCTACGAACCGCATTAGCGAGAGGTTCAAAAGACTTTAAAAAAAAAATTATTATTTGACCATTTTTACTCCGTCACTAGTTGAGGTACAGAAGTGCCACGTATATTGAAATACTGGTTTAAATAATTATATTCCTTAATTTACGATCACACTGTATAACATTTTATAGAATCCACGTATGAAAAGGATCCTATATTTGAAATATCCCCATTAAACTGAATCCTACTCTTAATGAAGCAGTATGGATAGCTACAGTGCAAAAAGAAAACATAGTGCAAAATTTTTAAAATTGAAAGCTAACTAGAAAACCTGTAAATTAAACAAAAAATATAGTTGCGGGATAAAAAAAATTAAATTGGATGTGTTTACCATATGTAATGTTTCATCTACCCTTGTGCATTCCTCAGTCCTGTCGAGACTAAACTGTCTTCTGAGCAACTTGCCGACCTTGTGCTTAGGACTCAAACACTTGTAATGGTTATAAGGTGTACTCAGATCCTCTTCTTCTATCTTTCTATGACGCCTGTAACCGCAAAGGGAGTTTGTGGAGGCGCCAAGGAGAGCAGCTGCTACTTCTGAAGCAGATACTGGCGTACCTAGAGACGCTGGGGCGTCACTGGAAGTGCTCTTTACCATGTGATAGTCGGATCTGAAGCAGAACGATAAGTATTTTGACACTTCGATTAGGTACAATCATGATTAATAAAAGATTCTCAAATTGAATGTGTTGTGAATAAGTATTGCTCCAATTTTTTCATGTGCCACTCTTTCAACAGTTTGCGACAAAAAATTAAATTGTAGATAATTTTACAGTAAAAAGATGATTTCGATAAGCGGCGTCGTTTTGATTTAAAAATTATGTTACACATAGAAAATATATGAAATACCTACAGTATACTTTAAAAACAATTGATAAAAACTTATTCAACAAGAAGATCTAAAAACTCTCAAGACTCATTGCTAAAATAATAATTAATGCTCTGTGTTAAAAATGTATGATTAAAGAATGTAACAATCTATAAATGTTAACAAGTTTTTAGGGAAATAGTTGAATAAAAAAGGGTTTTATTTGTAATTAAAGAATGAAAAACATAATGTAGTTATTATGTTGATCAAATAATGTCTTCATGTTGATGATGTTGTGAGAAACAACTTCTCTACGGGCTACAGCCCCGTTCAGCATTAAATTACATCCGCAGTATCTAGTAAACAACTAAGATCATTCGTCAATAGAATCATCAGACATAGACTAGTTAAGATGAACTTATGAGTTTCCATCGGTGCGCCATAGGTGAGACAACCCACCAATGATTTAGCTATTGGGATGTCTGCTGACATGTTTTGACTACGGTGGGCATGTCAATGATACTCATTCTCAAACCGTTGTTTTATACTTACTGACAGAGAGCGACCTACCAATCTGTAAGTACTATGAAAACATAACCGTTGTGGCTTTAAGCCAAATGGACTAATGATATGGTTGAAAACAACATTGACAATTAAGGTATATACTTTGTTGGTTACGTATCGCCCACACTCACAAACTGTTGGAAGGTAGGCATCCAAATAGCCAAATCGTTCGTATAGCAGATTAGTTTTTAAAAAATGTTTTCTTGTTCTGGTGGCTCTTTAACTTTATTTTTGATTTTTTTTACTAGGGCTTTGAATATTATTGTTTTCCACGGCACAATAGATTTACACACAATATTTCTAATCAGCAGATACTTCTCTTTTTTTATAACATAATTTTTAAATCAATCTTAAACGATCCTATGTATACAAGTGATAAAAGCACTTTCGTTCAATATTTCAATTTTTTATTAAATAGTGGAAAATATCCAAATACAAAGTAGTTAAGATCAAATTTAACATCTTGTTTTTAATTTATATATTGTATATTATGACTTTTTTATCATTTATCTGACAGTACACAATGTCCCATAATTAGCCTGCTAACAAAAAAAGTTCTAATACACATAAACTGAAAATGCTTCCAAGGCAGCTACAACTTCTTACAGATACGACTCTGAGCAGGAGTTTTATTCAATATCTCCGAAACTTGTAGGAACAAATAAATACAGTTCTAGAAACCTACAAACTATTTTATTAGAAGCTGCTTTGCAACCCTTGCAGTTTCTTTATTGTGCTAAACTTATAAATATGGGTAAAGTTCATTCAGTTATTGTCCAGAGGTAATACGTTTAAAAACCCAAACCGCTAGGCACAAAAGATATCTAGCGATTCCTAAACAATAATTGGATATAATACCTTTAAAATTCACTTTGATTCTTTATTTGTTGGCATTATGTGGCATTTATAGGCCAGGAAAATAAGCTGGTAAATGACCATTTCGCGAATTTTTGTTTCGGCCATCTGAATTTATCACTATAGATGCTAAATATTATGTACAATAGAAGATTGTTTACAGGGTGGTTAATTGTATAAATTTTACCTAAATTCAAGTTTTTCGCTTATAACTTTTTTCCTTTCATTTCCACGAGAAAACAGTAAAGTGATTTTTTTTTCATCTTCAAAAGACCTACAAAACTAGCCCTCGAGCGTCAAAAAATATTGATTAGATCAAAAGTTATAAACAGAAGAAGTTTATTTATGACTTTTGAATTAAACATTTATAAACTGCGCTAGTATTACCAGAACGTTTTGGCATCGCATCCTTGCATTCCTTATCACTGTCTAAAACTCACACGAAATCTGGAATCGGTAAGTTGAATAATTTACAAGTTATGGCCTTATAAACAAATTAACTAATTATTAGTTTGGACGATCCTGAGGATCTTCCACAATCGCACTGGCTACAAAATAAAAAAAATTACAGGTTGCAAAATTGAAATTAAAAAAAAAATATGATAGATTTCAATGTATTATTATGAAATCTACCATGAAAAAAATCAGTGCGATTGTAGAAGATCCTCAGGATCGTCCAGACTAATAATTAGTTAATTTGTTTATAAGGCCATAACTTGTAAACTATTCAACTTAGCAATTCCAGATTCGTGTGAGTTATTAGACAGTGATAAGGAATGAGAGGATGCGATGCCAAAACGTTCTGGTAATAACAACGCAGTTTATAAATGTTTAATTCAAAAGTCATAAATAAACTTCTTCTGTTTATAACTTTTGATCTAATCAATATTTTTTTACGCTCGACGGCTAATTTTGTAGGTCTTTCGAAGACGAAAATGAAAGTACCTTACTGTTTTCTCGTGGAAATGAACGGAAAAAAGTTAAAAGCGAAAAACTTGAATTCATGTAAAAATTATACAATTAACCACCCTGTAAACAATCTTCACCCCATTTTTATGTCTGTGGAAACTAATATGTTATTATACATAATATTTAGCATCTATAGTGATAAATTCAGCTTGCCGAAACAAAAAGTCGCGTCCAACTGTATATTTCCTGGACTAATTAGTTTTCAAGTATACTTTTAACTTGTAGAAGGTATGGAATGTTTTGCCATTTNTCTGTGGAAACTAATATGTTATTATACATAACATTTAGCATCTATAGTGATAAATTCAGCTTGCTGAAACAAAAAGTCGCGTCCAACTGTATATTTCCTGGACTAATTAGTTTTCAAGTATACTTTTAACTTGTAGAAGGTATGGAATGTTTTGCCATTTATTTCAAAACTGATGTATACGAATAGCGTGCAATAAGAATAGATACATTATTGTAAACTTTAGTGATATTTTAATAGGGAATTAAATTAAAATAGCTTAAAAATAAAACCCACTCTCGGAACTACGTCCCTCTATAACTTGAAAAAACATGGCCTAGTTTTTAGAATATGCATCAGATCAGCAGTTGCAACTAAAAGAAATAATTTTTCCTGAAGCTTCAACCTCCTGCACCTCGAGTCCAGATACATTATTATATTTTTAAATATGTAACAGATTACCTAATATTTGATCAAGTTATGTTCCCAACATCGCAAGAATTTTAATCTGGAGGGAAGATAGCGCGAATGTCATTGCAGTTTTTTTTATTAAAAAATAAAACTGTAAACAATAATTTCGTTAATGATATTTTGATTATTAAAAGAGATGGGCGAAACATACTTCAATCCCTAAACCGCAAGATAAGAATGCCTTTGTTGACAACCGAAAAACATTCTAATTATGTTCTGTATTATTGAGGTTAAAAACTGGTTAAATTCCATTACTTTCAAATTATCCAAGCCAAATTTCATTAATAGACCGGTCAATCTAGACATTCAAAGATACATAAATTTACAACAAGCTGAAAGTGAGTAAAGTTGTTCAAAATATAATTAAAAATAACATATTAAAATTCCTCATCGTTCTGGTACTTGGAAAAAAATTTACTCGAGGTCAAAGGTCAAAAAAATGTTCAGCTAAACGGTAAGTTTTATCATAAAATTACCTCAGACAAAAATTGTAGATCATAAAATTATCTATAAAAAATATATCATCACACGTTTCCACGCCACCTATGAGGTAGTGTACTTAGCACGTTTTTTTAACGTGGTTTTCCCAGTAGGCCTATTCCACAGGTCTGTTGCAATTCTGTTTAGTTTGAAATTATTGCATAATATCAGATATTAGCAAGGGTTGGAAATGATAAAAGCGATGGAAATTAAAAAAGAAGTAAAGGAATATATTCGTCTGATTCATAACCTTCAAATACTTCTTCTTGCTCTTCTTCTTGATCTTCTTCTTCATTCTGGGTGTAAGTAAATTGTGTCAATGGTGATGTATCGCATGTCTCCTTGTTGGTATCAAACGAATCCTCTACTGTTGGTGATTCAACATTAGAACACGACCGGCCTTGACAATTTGTACATGCCAGAGAACAAGACAGTCCAACTTTTTTGCAACCACATTTAGCACTGCATCCCATTTTATAGTTACAGTGCCGTATTTATGCATATTATGGCGATTACAACTTTTACAACTTTTTGAATCGTTATATCTCAGAAACGGTGGCTCTTAGGAAAAAAAGTATTAATACATTTTTTACAGATAATTTTATGATCTATAATTTTTGTGCGAAGTAATTTTATGATAAAACTTACCGTTTAGCTGAAAATCGCTTAAAACCCATTTTTTTGACTTTGACCTCGAATAAATTTTTTTCCAAGTATCGGAACGAAGAGNTAAATTTTCTTCCAAGTACCGGAACGATGAGGAATTTTAATATGTTATTTTTAATTATGTTTTAAATAATTTTACTCACTTTCAGCTTGTAAATTTATGTACCTTCACTCTTATTTTTTGGTCTAATTTGACCGGACTATAATAAATAAAGTTATTCTGTTTTCAAAAATCACACATCCCTCAATTTTTTTCGAAAATTGATAATAACTTGAAAACTGTCACATTTTCGCCTATAGTACCTTATATGAAAATACTCTAGAATTTGCCGTAAAATTAAAAAATGCAAAAATATACAGTGTTCCATTTGAAATAACAGAGTTAATGATGATTTCCGGTATAACAGGAAGTGCGAGAAAGTTGACACTATTTTTATTGAATAGATCTTTTTGATAAACCCCTGTATTCAAATTTTCAAATTTCAATTTTGACTACTTTTTGAGATAATCCTACTGGGCCCTCTTCGTGATACACCCTGTATATAACAATTTTTCTTATCAAAGAGTTATATTTACTATATCTAAAAAAATAAGTTGTTTCTCTTAACGTACCTCGATCCTGGGTCGTCAATAGTTTTCGCCAGCGTTGAGAACTTCGAGTACTCCATATTTTTAATAAAAGAGGGATTAGTGTTCGGAGACTTATTGCAGTAATCGTCGCCACCGCTGCTTGCTTGGTGCTTGGACTCCAGAGAAATGGTGTCACCGGAATCCTCATAATGGTTATGAGTTATCGACTTGCTAATGATAAGGCTCTCGTCTAATCTGCACCAGAAGTATGAGGCGTTAGCTGATCGTTAAGGTAATAGCAGGGTTACAACTCTAAAAGCCGGTTTACATCGGTAGACTAAGTTATAGAGTAGTTCAGTAACATATTTTTCTCCGAATGCAGATTTACAAATATAGATTAGCAATTGGATACACAAGTAAATTTGTGCACTATAATCTACCACTTTTGGTAAAGAAACCATTAATGCAGTTTTTAATATCCCAAAATATCAGCATTACACCCTTATATTACACCTAATATACCAACGTAAACCGACATTAACACTACTACTAACTTTTATAGAAACCATTCACAAGACAATTTAGTTTGACAGATGGGAATTAAAGTAAAAGTAATTCACAAAAGTGCAGTTTATACCTCATTTTGCGGAATAGATAGAGTGGAGAGTCCGGAAAAAAATTGGGGTAGAAGGGTGGGGTATAAAATCTATATTTTATATGTGACATCCACTCTACCCAGTATTTACCCAAATCGTCTACACAGTTCTAGGAATGGGACAGTACCCACTTTACCCCTGTACTCTCTCTACGTAATATATTAACGTAAATAGATAGATTAAGAATCTACTATATTTATAATAAAAGTTCACTTGGTATAGTCCTTCCGATCTCAATTGAAGACCAAAGAGCTAGACAGTGTGTACCAGGTTCGGTCGCTACGCAGCAACTCGGCACTGAAATATTTGAAAAACTTGTTCCTATATTTATTTACCATATACAGGTCTGATCGAACTAATCGTGGAGGTGGTAGAAATGTATACGCACAGTTGAAGAACGCGCGCGCGGGCAAACAGCGCACAAACACAGCCGCACTTGGAGACTAGGCCATAAATTTCAGTTGTTGACAAGTAGCCTAGCAGTGCAGTGCAGCAATGCGGAATTTGGTGCGATTCAGGTAATTTTAAATTATTATAGGCACCTTCTATTAATCATTCATATTACAATTGCGAAAGGGAGGAATAAGAGGGATATTTTGTTTACTAATATTATTACAACATGGAATTTTGGAAACCTTTTGAAATGGAACAAAACAAAATACCACCAGACAATATTGAATTAGTAGAAGCGGTTGTTGATGAAACATATTTAGAATTTAAAAATAAAGATTTACACGTTCAATGTCAGCGTCCCATTTTAAATATTTACGATTGTCTAAAAGGATGAAAATGAAAACTCAGATAATGAAATTATAAATAAAATTCACATATTAACTAAAGATTCGTGTTCACAATTTTTCGTGTCATTAAACAAGGTGTTATTGATCATTGCGCAAAGAGGAAGTGAAAACAAAAATTTAAAAATATCGATGACATGACGAGAGACGTAATTTGGCGGACAATTTATATTATAATTTATATAAAGAAAACAAAATGCCAACTTTAGAGATGATTAAAGATAAATTGCGTTCTTGCCGAGCAGTAATATATTTTAATGAAAATGTAAATGTTTTTTGATAGGTATATGTCATAACCAAAATTTACCATCAATATAATAAAATTGTTTGAGGACATAAATACTTAAAATATGTTGTTGGCCAAATGAAGATATAATAGAAATTTTCTACACATTATATTATTATTTTTTACCTTTAGCAGAAAATTTTTTAGGGACGCCTATGAAATTCTTTAAATTTTATTGCTAGCTGTTTTTATGCATGTTCAACTGACTTCGGAAAGACTATATAGTTTCCTGAAATTCTTAATAGAGTTCATAAGTAGTACGAGATTTATATACTCGATACTAGGGTTTCTGATTTCTCGGCCTACTTTTTTTCTCGGTTCTCGAGAATTCTCGACTAGGAATTCCCGGGAATTCTCGAATTCTCGAGAAATTTCTAAAACTTAAAAAAGTCATAATTTTGGTATTGCAATGCGAAATATAAACATGCTATTATACTTAACAATCATTAACATTTATTATTTATTNGAATGTCATTGCAGTTTTTTTTATTAAAAAATAAAACTGTAAACAATAATTTCGTTAATGATATTTTGATTATTGAAAGAAATGGGCGAAACATACTTCAATCCCTAAACCGCAAGATAAGAATGCCTTTGTCGACAACCGAAAAACATTCTAATTATGTCCTGTATTATTGAGGTTTGATTAATAATAATTATAATATTACTTTAAAATGATGCTATAGTTCCCTATACCCAAAGTTAACAATTCTTGTGTAAATTGGAAATTGATTTCAACATAGAAAAATCTACGAGTATGGTGGGTTTATTTAAAGCATCGCTTTTTTTAATTTAATATACTGAATTATTGTTTTTGATGAAGGTATAACGATAATAAAAATTACAGTTTAATCATATACCGTTTATTATTTAATTCTTTAATGCATCAAATTCACCGTAGATTTTTCTGTGTTGGAATCAATAATTTCCAATTTACACAAGAACTATTAACTTTGGGTATAGGGAACTGTAGTATCATTTTAAAGTAAATTTAATTGTGCATCCTTTAATGTAATAATATTCAGGGTGTACCATTTGAAATGTTTGAGTAAACACAACTTTAACGCACATTATTGACAACGTTTTTAAACACATTTTTGCAAATTTAACAAAAACTGGTTGAATTCCATTACTTTCAAATTATCCAAGCCAAATTTCATTAACAGACCGGTCAATCTAGACATTCAAAGATACACAAATTTACAACAAGCTGAAAGTGAGTAAAGTTGTTCAAAATATAATTAAAAATAACATATTAAAATTCCTCATCGTTCCGGTACTTGGAAAAAAATTTACTCGAGGTCAAAGGTCAAAAAAATGGGATTTTCAGCTAAACGGTAAGTTTTATCATAAAATTACCTCTGACAAAAATTGTAGACCATAAAATTGTCTATAAAAAATGTATCAATACTTTTTTTCCTAAGAGCCACCGTTTCTGAGATATAACAATTCAACTAGTTGTAAAAGTTGTAATCGTCATAATATGCACACGTTTCCACGCCACCTATGAAGTAGTGTACTTAGCACGTTTTTTTAACGTGGTTTTCCCGGTAGGCCTAATCCACAGGTCTGTTGCAATTCTGTTTAGTTTGGAACTATTGCATAATATCAGATATTAGCAAGGGTTGGAAATGATAAAAGCGATGGAAATTAAAAAAAAAAGTAGAGGAATATATTCGTCTGATTCATAACCTTCAAATACTTCTTCTTGCTCTTCTTCTTGATCTTCTTCTTCATTCTGGGTGTAAGTAAATTGCATCAATAGTGATGTATCGCATGTCTCCTCGTTGGTATCAAACGCATCCTCTACTGTTGGTGATTCAACATTAGAACACGACCGGCCTTGACAATTTGTACATGCCAGAGAACAAGAGAGTCCAACCTTTTTGCAACCACATTTAGCACTGCATCCCTTTTTACAGTTACAGTGGCGTACTTATGCATATTATGACGATTACAACTTTTACAACTTTTTGAATCATTATATCTCAGAAACGGTGGCTCTTAGGAAAAAAGTATTAATACATTTTTTATAGATAATTTTATGGTTACAATTTTTGTCAGAGGTAATTTTATGATAAAACTTACCGTTTAGCTGAAAATCGCAAAAAAAACATTTTTTTGACCTTTGACCTCGAGTAAATTTTTTTCCAAGTACCGGAACGATGAGGAATTTTAATATGTTATTTTTAATTATGTTTTAAATAATTTTACTCACTTTCAGCTTGTAAATTTATGTACCTTCACTCTTATTTTTTGGTCTAATTTGACCGGACTATAATAAATAAAGTTATTCTGTTTTCAAAAATCACACATCCCTCAATTTTTTTCGAAAATTGATAATAACTTGAAAACTGTCACATTTTCGCCTATAGTACCTTATATGAAAATACTCTAGAATTTGCCGTAAAATTAAAAAATGCAAAAATATACAGTGTTCCATTTGAAATAACAGAGTTAATGATGATTTCCGGTATAACAGGAAGTGCGAGAAAGTTGACACTATTTTTATTGAATAGATCTTTTTGATAAACCCCTGTATTCAAATTTTCAAATTTCAATTTTGACTACTTTTTGAGATAATCCTACTGGGCCCTCTTCGTGATACACCCTGTATATAACAATTTTTCTTATCAAAGAGTTATATTTACTATATCTAAAAAAATAAGTTGTTTCTCTTAACGTACCTCGATCCTGGGTCGTCAATAGTTTTCGCCAGCGTTGAGAACTTCGAGTACTCCATATTTTTAATAAAAGAGGGATTAGTGTTCGGAGACTTATTGCAGTAATCGTCGCCACCGCTGCTTGCTTGGTGCTTGGACTCCAGAGAAATGGTGTCACCGGAATCCTCATAATGGTTATGAGTTATCGACTTGCTAATGATAAGGCTCTCGTCTAATCTGCACCAGAAGTATGAGGCGTTAGCTGATCGTTAAGGTAATAGCAGGGTTACAACTCTAAAAGCCGGTTTACATCGGTAGACTAAGTTATAGAGTAGTTCAGTAACATATTTTTCTCCGAATGCAGATTTACAAATATAGATTAGCAATTGGATACACAAGTAAATTTGTGCACTATAATCTACCACTTTTGGTAAAGAAACCATTAATGCAGTTTTTAATATCCCAAAATATCAGCATTACACCCTTATATTACACCTAATATACCAACGTAAACCGACATTAACACTACTACTAACTTTTATAGAAACCATTCACAAGACAATTTAGTTTGACAGATGGGAATTAAAGTAAAAGTAATTCACAAAAGTGCAGTTTATACCTCATTTTGCGGAATAGATAGAGTGGAGAGTCCGGAAAAAAATTGGGGTAGAAGGGTGGGGTATAAAATCTATATTTTATATGTGACATCCACTCTACCCAGTATTTACCCAAATCGTATACACAGTTCTAGGAATGGGACAGTACCAACATTACCCCTGTACTCTCTCTACGTAATCTACTAATGTAAATAGATAGATTAAGAATGTACTATATTTATAATAAAAGGTCACTTGGTATAGTCTTTCCGATCTGAATTGAAGACTAAAGAGCTAGACAGTGTGTACCAGGTTCGGTCGCTACGCAGCAACTTGGCACTGAAATATTTGAAAAACTTGTTCCTATATTTATTTACCCATATACAGGTCTGGTCGAACTAAACGTGGAGGTGGTAGAAATGTATACGCACAGTTGAAGAACGCGCGCGCGGGCAAACAGCGCACAAACACAGCCGCAGTTGGAGACTAGGCCATAAATTTCAGTTGCTGACAAATAGCCTAGCAGTGCAGTGCAGCGATGCGGAATTTGGTGTGATTCAGGTAATTTTAATTTATTATAGGCACCTTCTATTAATCATTCATATTACAATTGCGAAAGGGAGGAATAAGAGGGATATTTTGTTTACTAATATTATTACAACATGGCATTTTGGGGACCTTTTGAAATATAAGAAAATAAAATACCGCCAAACAATGTTGAATTAGTAGAAGCGGTTGTTGATGAAACAGATTTAGAATTTAAAAATAAAGATTTACACGTTCAAAATCAGCGTCCCATTTTAAATATTTACGATTGTTTGAAAAAGGAAGAAAATGAAAAATCAGATAATGAAATTATAAATAAAATTACCATATTAATTAAAGTTTCGTGTCCACAATTTCTCGTGTCATTAAACAAGGCGTTATTGATCATTGCGCAAAGAGGAAGCGAAAACAAAAATTTAAAAATATCGATGACATGACGAGAGACGTAATTTGGCGGACAATTTATATTATAATTTACATAAAGAAAACAAAATGTCAACTTTAGAGATGATTAAAGATAAATTGCGTTCTTGCCGAGCAGTAATATATTTTAATGAAAATGTAAATGTTTTTTGATAGGTATATGTAATAACCAAAATTTACCATCAATATAATAAAATTGTTTGAGGACATAAATACTTAAAACATGTTGTTGGCCAAATGAAGATATAATAGAAATTTTCTACACATTATATTATTATTTTTTACCTTTAGCAGAAAATTTTTTAGGGACGACTATGAAACTCTTTAAATTTTATTGCTATCTGTTTTTATGCATGTTCAACCGACTTCGGAAAGACTATATAGTTTCCTGAAATTCTTAATAGAGTTCATAAGTAGTACGAGATTTATATACTCGATAGTTATAAATTAAAAATGAAAATTTATATTATTTAAGGGTTTTTTAAAAACGCAACGAAATACGGTAAACCTTAAATAAAAAAAAAAAACAAGTGTAAAACAGCATTCCGGATCAAAATATTGCGATTTAATCAAACTTACTGATGCTACGAGGATAAATTAATTTTACAAACATTTTCATTTTCATGTTCTATTGTGACTGAAGTAATTTTCTAAATATTGATTGATTTATGATGAATAATAATATGTCTAGTATTTTACTGCAACTGCCAGATTGTTCCTACTTTTTTAAAGTTAATAGTTGCATATTGGAATATTTATAATGTTGATATGCAATAAAGTCGCAACTGTAAAAAAATTACTGACAAACAAATAGCATATTTACATTTTTGAAATAATAAAATTATCAGATTTATATATTTATAATAATACAAGGACTAAGTTATTGTTAAAACTACAAAAGAGATTTGGAAAAAGATAAGTTCCATTAAATCGTAGTATTTTTGTGTCCATACTGTTACTAATACAGTATTTCGATTTAATTATAACACTTTTGTAATATAACTGTAACCGCGGAAACGTAAATCAGATAACAAAACAATATCTTACTTATAACATTCAAATTAGAACATTTGCTGACTGTGAATGAAAGTTAAATTGGACGCCAGATAAAGCCAATTGTTGCTTGCATTTAAATTTATCGATAATTGGTTCCCTAATGTTTGTAAAATGGACTGTAGAAGAAAGATTAATGGCATTTTAAATACCATTGTGGCTTGTAGCTAATAGCTGTACTCTTTGTACTTAGATAAAACTTGTAACAGTTGAAGGAAAACTTTAGAAAACCTAACTGCTGACTGCATTTAGAGCTTTACCATAATATTTAAATTCATGTAGTTAATTCTATTTCTAGGTAATTAAATTAGGTTAATTAATTATTCAGATATTCCATTACTGTAAACATAACTTTTTTTGAAATATAAAAAATTAAATTTAAACATTAATAACTTCAAATACGACTAATGGATATTAGTTGTTAATATTACATGTTTAATGAACTTTCATTAACTTACTACACAAAGTTTATTATGTACTTACCCGTGAGATTCCCTATGCAAGCCAGAAATTTGAATCTTATTTTAATATTTATCGAACAAATAAATTGGAAATGCAAATTACTTTGCATAATTTTATGCCTCAACTTAGATGGGATAGCTATCCTTCACAATAAAATTTGAAATCAATCAATGTCTAAATGTTTATTCATATAATGGTAGGCGCTATTACAATTTTGGCCAGTAAAGAAAACAAGCAGGAGAAAAGAAAACAATATCCGTACAGATATATGTAGATACGCCTAATATAAAACTTAAAAAAATGTTTAGTGACCATTCACGTTAGTAGGCAGATAGAATCGAATAATAACCTTAATATTTCCTTTATACACTGGAATACATTAAGACCGAAAACATTTCATCATATATTATACAGGGTGTCCCGGCACTTGATACAAAAAAAAGTCTAGGACAGACAGATGAGGGCAAAATAATATCAGTTCTTCATATATTTTTTTTTTTCATACGGACCTTCGTAAACAAGTTACGGGCCCTCAAAGGTGAAAATTAAAAAGTTATTTTTATTTACAGTCTCTAAACTATTAACTTCAGCATGCTGCAAATTTGGTGATCGATAACACCTGCGTACAGCTTGTTTTTAATGTTGTAAGTGAAAAATCATTATGCCCAGAACGCCAGGGACGGACTATACCCAATGGTTAACAACTCAGAATTTTTGCATAGATGAGGATCGCAATCTGCCTGTACCAAAAACAAGTCCCCTGAAGAATTTGCAAATGATAATACCCTCTTGGTTCAACTCGGTAAAATTAACAGTTTAGGAAATATTTGTGATTTTATGTTACTGTGCACATCGAGCGGCGTCTCCACCATTTTTTGTGTTTAATTTTTAATTGGACATAATTACCATGTTAGAACTGTACATATTTTTAAATTAAGAGCCTAGAAAATCTTACTGTCTGCTAATGTAATTTTCACTAACAAAATTTGACAAATACACGTAACACGTAACACAAAATAGAAAAACAAAACAACAAGTTAAAGTATTAAAAAATAATTTAAAAGAAAGAAAACTATCAAAATACATTTTCAATATGGGCACCTTCCACCTCCACACACTTCCTAAGATTACGAATGTTATTTGTTTGTACACGGAAAAGCATTTCTGGGGTAATAATTTAATAGGTCCATACGTTTTTGAGGAACATCGATATTTGGAGTTTTTGCAAAGTAATTTTCAGCCACTATTAGACGATGTTTCATTAGACACCCGAAGAATGCACGATGGGGCTCCTCCCCATTTCAATGTACGAAATAATTTGTCCATTGTGTTTAAAAATGGATTGGGAGAGGAGGTCCAATTTCATGGCCACCACGTTCTCCAGATTTTAACCTGATGGACTTCTTCCTACCTGAAAAGTTTAGTTTTTAGAAATGAATTGCTACAAACAATTAATTTCCATTGTGATATTGTCTAATATCAATTTATTCTTGGCTTGTTTTTCTATATTGTGTTATGTGTAAAGTGTGTTTGTCAAATTTTGTTAGTGAGAATTACATTAGCAGTAAAATTTCCTAGGCTCCTATTTTAAAAATATGTAGGCTTCTAACATAGTAATTAAGTGCAATTAAAAATTAATAACAAAAAATGGTGGAAGCGCCACTATATGTGCACTGTGGTATAAAATTACAGATGTTTCTTAAGCTGTTAATTTTACCGAGTTGAACCAAGAGGGTATTATCATTGGCAATTCCTCAGGTAACTTATTTTTAAAGGTAGACTGTGATCGTCATCTATGCAAAAATTCTGGCTTGTTAACCATTGGGAATAGTCCGTCCCTGGTGTTCTGGGCATAATGAAGTTTCACTTACAACATTAAAAACAAGATATATGCATATGTTATCGATCACTAAATTTGCATCATGCTTAAGTTAATGGTTTAGAGACTGTAAATAAAAATAACTTTTTAATTTTCACCTTTGAGGTCCCGTAATTTGTTAACAAAGGCCCGTATGAAAAAAATTTATAGACAGAACTGATAATATTTTGACCTGATCTACCTGTACTCGACTTTTTTATATCAAGTACCGAGACACCCTGTATACATCCGGATGGACAACGCTTGACCACAGGTTCTTGGATGAAAATAAAATTATTTAGCCTAATTTACCTACTCTATCAATATACAAAAGTGCACGCCTACTAAGATATAGCCTTCTACATATAGAATAGATAACCTAGTTTTTTTCAAATAATTTGAAAACTATTTTTCTTAGAAACTTCAAATTTGGTGCACATGTTTTTTATATGGGGGCAATGTAAATAAATAATTTGGTGAGAATACATGTACAGGATATTCTCTTTCTAGTGCCTGTGCGCCACACTTTTTTGTGTGTACGCCAATGACACCATAATTTATATTTTTAAAAATAAGCATTATTTTAGAAGATTTTTTGCCTCTTACAAAATTTTGATATCGTTTATGGATTTCCAGTAAAATTGACATTTTTTATTTTTGTTATCTCTGTTTCTGGAGTTCCTGAATACAAGAACTGAAAGCAAGACATGACGGAAGATCGATTGGTAGGTAAAAGTTCTTGAACTGATTGAAGGTGGAATGGATGTAGTAACTAGTCTTTTAATACTCTATTAACGGAACATTTTGAAAGCCAACCTCTACCGCTAAACGCCTTGTACTAACTTGCGGAATTTCTACGACCCTTTCCAAAATTTGTTCCTCCAGCTGAATAGTTCTAGCCGTCCTGATTCCCGAAGGCGTCTCCCCGCATTAGCAAATGTTTTTTGATTTGGAATTCTTCGATTAGGATTTCTTTCAGCATACGTTGCTTTTCAGGGACACCCTGTAGATCCCACTACTGCGTCGTGAGCTTATTGTAATGAATTTTCAATTTATAAAACTTGCGCACCCTCTCCGTGGATTCAATGCTGTAGGAACTCTTCTGAGTCTAATTTTAGCTATTCATAAAGACCCATCTTCTGTAGTTTAAATACTCCACAGTATACGATAGGCTCTTTCTGTTGTACTGTTGCAAAGTTTTAATTCTAGATCTCCCTGATATAGTCAAATTCTGTTTAGGTGTTCTTTCAGACAACAATGTCACTGTGCGCAACTTATTCCTGTTTAATGACAGTTCTTCAGATTTCTTTCTTCATAGTTGTTCGATTAAGATCTTACCATGTCGGTGCTTGGGTTGATTGTTGATTAATTTCCTTATCTTACACTCTTCTGTGATGATTTTTGTCACTCCCGGGGCAGGTTCCGTACCAACGTAAGGAGATAACAAAGTTTTCTTAACTTCCAATACTCTTGTCAAACTTATGGTCCGTCAGAACTTACGATTGTTACAAGCATTGTCATATCAGCTTAAATGCTAGCTTATCAGTGACTTGTAGGATGTCTAAGTATCTATAAGATTCTATCCGCTTATTTATACAGATGCTTATAATGTTTTCTTTTTGCACAATGCAATATTGCAGACATTCTCATTTGGAACAAAAAATTTTGAAACAAAATAAAATTCTGACATACAAACCAATTCACAACCATACTTTAGAGGAAGGCGATGAAGTGAAACGTCTAGATTTTTGTCTATGTATCGGAGATATGGAATGAAATTTCCATCAACAGATTATGTTTTCGGACGAATCCAATTTTTCTACAAATGGCATTGTTGCTTCACAGCGTTTGCGATGTGTGGAGTACCGAAAATCCTCATTTTAGGATACCATCTAAAAAGCACACCACAGAAATGAGACAACCCCCAAATCCAAAGTCAAAGGCTGTGCGGAAGGGGCTACACTTGAAAAAACGCGGATAAACACCTATTATCCATCGACATTGCCAGTGCCGACGCCAGGAATCGAACCCGGATCAGAATAGGAAGCCTGGCCGATAAATGCTTGCCACCGCACTCTCGACCGACTACGCTACAGTGGCCTATGCGGCAATATTTCAAAAAAGTAAATGTTTGGTGTGCGGTATCCTTTTATGGAATAATAGGAATACTTCTTTGAGTATACATGCAATGGAAACAGCTACCTGAATATGCTCCAAACGTTTTTCACTAATGAATTGGACAATTTACCAATGACCTACCGAAATTGTTTTTATTTTCAGCATGACGGTTGTCTGGCGCATTCTGCTGTAACTGTTAGGACATGATTACAGAATACATTTTCCAATAGCTGGATTTGCCAGGCTCCATATCAATGGATGTCCAGACTTAATAATCATGGACTTTTACTTATGGGGCCGACTCAAACAGATTGTGTATAGCAGCCTTTGGACAATAACATCGACCAGCTAAAACAACGAATTAGAGATGCTGTACAGTCCATATCTTTAGAAGAGATTAGACGCAGCTACAATGAATTCCTTGCACGCCTTCAAATTTATGTGAACGTTGGCGGAGGAGTGTTCGAATAATGTATACATAAATTTTTTTTCAAATTTATTATGTTCTATAAAAAATTAAACCAATTTTGTGTGCGAATTGTTTTATTTAAAAACTCAAGTACCTTTTTTGAACGACTTTTGCAAATATCACTTTTCAGAAATATTAAAAATAAAGGTAGTTTACTCTAGTGACATTTTCAGATATTTTTATTTTCTGGACACCCCGTACATGAAATGTTAAGTTTCATCATGGCAACCTCATTTTAAATTCAAGCAAAACTATATAAAGTGTGCCGTAAAATGTAAAATAAAAAAGTTTTTCCTCTTTTTCAATCAATAAATATAATCAAGAATAAATATTTCTAGAATTAAATTGCCAGTGTAATAAAAATAGACAGACAATTCGTTATAAAAAAATTAACTAAGTGAAAATTGTTTTCATATATTTTATGAAACTTTCAAGTCCTAATTTTCATATTTAGAATGAAATCAGTTTATAGGAAATATAGAAAAATAATTAATTTTAAACATATCTATATTGTTTAGACTGTACTTAATTTAGTATCAAGTTTCGAGACACTGAAAAGTATAGTATTAGCAAAAATGGTAGGTTAGTATGCAGGGTGTTCTATATAAAGCTCTTGCAGGTTCTCTCTCGAAAGTTAGAAAAGATACTTAGGTTTTATATGTTGTGAAGTGCCGAATGTTTATAAATAACTTCAATTTTGAGTATAAAAATCATCATTTCTATTCATATACTGGAAAGTTAAAAACGAATATCAGGTACGCATAGGTATTAAACTTATTGACAAAATATATTATAAGATTTGCGAACCTATTTAGTATCTAATTATTGTTTCATTCATGTCAATCAGTGTTACAAATAAATTCATTAAAGAGAACAAAATGGCTAGATTTGTTGCTGTTGCTTACATTACGCTTTTTTTCTTAAAAAAATGAAATAAAGCCTCGACCAATTTTTTTAAATATGCTCTAAACAAAAAAAATATAACAAGAGCCTTTTATGTAAAATATTATTCAAAGCCTGAGTTATAAAGGACTGTTTTTAAATATAACAAGCTGATGCTTAAAATTTTCTTCTATCCTGTGTTCACAATTATTTTCATTTATAAGAAATATTTATCAGTTTGACTAAAAACTGCTGTTGTTGCTATTAAAAAAATAAACTGTCACCGTTAACGATATTTGTACTGGCTATAGGAATCCCCTTTCGTTTATTATTTGTTTGGATGCATAAACTTTGTGTTTTCATTGTGCACTTCATTCATCAGCCAGCCACTTCGTTGCAAAAATATTATTATAGTATAGTGTACGCATTCAGAATCAGAATTTGAATGAATCTACATACATTTTAGAAAATGTTAAAAAAGCATATACCTAAAGATATGTTGGATGATGCAAATGAAGGAAACAGGATCGATAGATAGAGTGGCTGACAAGAAATATAGCGGTGTCGCCATATGACGATAAAAATAATATGCAAATGTAACAGCCAATTTCCAACGTAATATACGAATATAATACTGACTGGTAATATATGGCTGTAAATTTAGAAAAGTCGTTTTTTCCTAGTTTCTTATCTCTTATATGTGAAGTTCTATATTTTCTTGTAAAATGTATTCAATGAGATAAACAGGAAATAATACCCCACGCTTTCAGCTAAATTTCTTCAAAGAAAAAAGAACTAGTTTTTTTATGTAATATTATAATTGTCTCCAACCTTTTAGTGTATTATGCATTTGTTTCGTTCGTCCGTTGTATTATTTATTTATTTAATATACAGGGTAGGACATATGAAGTGGCGACTCTGCAAATGCTTCGCCGCGACTGCGCGGTAGTCGCAGGTCGAGATTCCTAATTAAAATTAAAGAGGTTCAAGCTAATTCTGTATCTAGCTGCAATCATATACATAGGCCATAGCATAACAGCCCAAAAAACCCTAAATTGGTTATGTCGTAAGACTAAATTAGATACTAAAAGAAGAGGGAAGATGGCCAGCAAGCAATGCGGAAATAAAAGAAAATGTAAATAAGTCTAAGTAGGAACGAAATCGAATGATAACTTCTCATACCGTAAAGTTGAACAGAATGAAATCGCGAAAGTAAATCACAGTGAGTATAGAATAAATACTACATGAACTTGACAATATAAATCTGAACCAATTCAATTGCAGTCGTGTATGCTTTGTATCCAGGATTCCATACTGCTGACGCATCCAAGTTTAGAAATAATGTAAATAGATGGATAACTGTAACTGTATTATTACACCATTTGTCATTTCCTATAATATATCGGAAAATTTTAGAGGTACTGGTATCATTTACTTTATGATTAATAAAAGTTAGTCTCAAATCAAAAACAGCTCTGAAATCTCTTAAACAATAATTACTTGTTAGTTTAACAAGTCATTCGTACAGTAAATTGTTTATTCTATACAGGTACACCATCTATTTCGTTATTTAAATCATCTTGAAGTAATACTGCACATATGGATTTCTGATATTTAAGTAAAAGCTAAAAAACTAATGAAGGTGTACTTGATAAACAAAATCATGAATAGTTTGATTTTCATTATTATCGAAAATCGAAAAAGATGGGACGTTTTAACTCAGGCATTGTTAGGACTCTCTTTTGTGGAGAACTGAAATATGTCAAATATTGGTGTCCAAGAAAATATTCAGTGATGGAATAGAAAATTTTTGCAATTCTACGTCTGTACGTTTGTTAAATGAAGAGTTTTGTTCCTAAAAATAGCAGTTTCTGGAAATGTTAATTTACAATTACGATATTCAAGTGAAAGTGAAAATACAAATAAGTAACAATAAAAAAAAATAAGTACCTACTTTATCTACCCTTGCTGCTAAACTATTACTTTATCTATTGCAGTTAAAATGTTAGCATTTGTTTACGAAAATATAATAAAATAACAACGATTTTTATTTATTTAACTTTTTTAGAATCGAATATATTTCATCTAATTTCGACTTTATTTAGTTGTGATGTAACGAAACATATTTTCATTATAATTATAATTATATTATAATTTACAGGTTACACAATTATAGGTTAATAGAACTAAAGGCTAAATATATCATCACTTTCGTGTCCCTAGAGTACCTACCTACCTACCTACCTACCTACCTGCAATGTATATCTATTAATTTTGTCTTATTTTCCGTATACAATTGTATTTAATAGTTTAGCAGCGCTGTTTTTAGAAAATATCCACCGGTTTTTTATAAATACATGTGATAAACAGATCAACAAGCAATTTTTTATTTCAAGTCTCCATTTTTTCGGAGCAACAAATTAAAGCTTCTCATTTAATTCGAATCTTTTGTATAGAATCAACAAATCGTTTAGAAATCCAACCCTTTTCCTTAAGAGATCCATAAGCGGGAAAAGTATTTTCGATAAAGGGGATCACAGGTCTTCCCGTACTTCACTGATGCGAGTTGTTGTATGTGTGGAAGTTACAAGAGCTCTAAAAGCAATTGATTACGTTTAAAACAGCTTAATTAAAAATGAAGCGCTCATCACGAAGGCGTCTTTAGTCTTTCCCAGCTAAGTCGTCATATTAAACCTTGTTAAACCTTAAAAGCTTAGTTAGTAACTTACTCGATTGATGGTGGATCGGGAAGCGGTTTATCAAAACCAGCTTTTCCCAGTAACCAATATGTGTCCATGGTACCCTTCCCCTTAACTTCTGTAGGTCCTCTGTATTCAATCTGATAACCACCAGCCCTTTCCAGACGAATTTTTGTAGCCTGAGAGAGGTGGATTCTCCAAGCTGAACCTAAAAATAATAATTAATTAAAACCGTTACGCATAATTTTGACTTAAACTAGGTACATCCTTAGCCTATGAAATCATGTTTACCATCAGTGTGGGCGTATTTTTAAGTATTCAAGTTTTTATTGAGAAAAAGAAAAACGATAACCCATTATGATAGAAATACGCAGAAATAGGAAGACGTACAATTAGGTTCACTATTCTATTCACTATCATTAAATTGAATAGTGTTTTTCACTTGTATGAAAATAATTAAATTGTTTAGTATATTTTGAGAACTCTCCTTATACATACGGAAAAAAATGTATAAAACAACTTTGGTACTTATAATTGCAGGAAAAAATGTAAGTATTAGTTTTATTGAAGTAAAATTTGATACTGTTATTCTATAGAATCCTCCAATTTATCTACCTGAGTGTTTGTACTAGAAAGTATAGTATCAGTAGTAGGAAGTTTCATGAAAATCTTTACAAAACCATATTTTTCCCATTTTTCTGTTTATATTTGAAACGACAGAAGTTCCAGTTCTTCCAGTTGAAAAACTGGAAGACATACAATATCTACCTGTTTAATTTTTTTATTCATTAGTAACTATTAAAGCTAAAAATTATTGTGATATGTGATATGTATAGATAATCATAAGAAGTTGTAAGCATCAGTATTTTTTAAATTCATTTGATGACAGCACTTGAATACTGTTTGTTTTTTATTTCGATTGTGCTATTTTCTACTGTGTGCTACTTTTTATTTTAGTAGTCCTAAAGTGGACAACCATCGGATGTGTTGTTATGGACGTAGCAGTGATGTACACTTTTTGGCATTCCTTGACCGTCCATACCCTGGAATGTTCGGATCTAACATGAATTTAAAATGGATGCCTCCTTGATGTTGAATGCTCTGTACGCAAGCGGTTGTGAAATCTTACCTGTTGATTCCATTCTGGATGCTGTGTTTACAGTATCCCCAAAGAGGCAATATCTAGGCATCGTAAGGCCAACAACTCCAGCGCAACACGGACCCGTGTGAAGTCCTATCCTTAATCGAAGGGGAGTTCCTGGTAAGTGTCTTATGCGAAATCTTCCGCTTTGATGGAGTAAGTCGAGAGCCATAGTTGCAACCTAAACACATAATAACAGAGATTTCAGTTATATCAATAATTGTGTGTACTTATTACATCTCGATTATTCCATATTTGAATGATAAAAGGCAATGCTATTTCATATACAAGTAGGCAAGAATGAATTTGGGTCAATTTCACATAACTGCTAGGGCACAATCTACCTACATTTTATTACATGCTACATATTTTTACTTATTTATTTTTTGAAACAAATTTTGCCCAAATAAATTATTCCTATTCCATAATTCAGACCACAGAAATATTTGGTTATTTTGAGCTTCAATGTTGGTAAGGTACGTATTTAAGGTAAGGTATTTTTTCCCAATATAATATCCCAGTCGGCCTCTCACGAAGTGATATAGGTAATAATTATGTGTAGAAATCTAACTTAAGGTCAATGAGATCAAAATAAAGTAATGAACTTAATATAACTCAGTTCCAAAATACTTTAAGAAATTGCAGTAAGTCAAAAAAATTTTAGTACCTATTTTAAAAAATATTTATTTATAATTTTCTTAAGAATGCTGTACAGGAAACAATGATAACAATACTTTTAAGAAGATATTTTACTAAATCCTATGTATTTTATAAGACCCCATTTTACTCTCTATCTATAAACTAAATTTATAAATATTTTTCAAGAGCAATTTATCATCAAGCTGCAGTGGAAAGAACTTCCCTACTAATCTCTAACCGCAACAGACAGTATTACACAACTGTCATTAACTAAAAGTTATTAATGACCCTTTTCAAAACAGAATTGAAAAAGTAAATTTCTTAACTGCAACAACAAAGTTGCCATCTTCTTTTTTTCTTACACATTATTTATTCTCTATCTCAGAGCTAAAATTAAATAACTGGGTTAACTAAAATGTCAATAATAAACTAATACAGTCAATCAGATGTGTGAAGTTACATGCGGCCGCATAAACCGGGACAAAGTTCTTAGCTGAAATCAATCAGAATATGTATCTTCTAAGTATTATAATCTTTAAACTATGCGTTGAATTAAATGTAAATTTAGTGCATGATAACATACGTGCTTATCTACTTTTGACATTGCCCCTTGAACGCCAGGACGAATAATTTAGAATTTTGATAGGGATGATGACAGCGGTCAACAATTATTAAAACTAAGTTCCTCAAATGATTTACGAATATGTACTCTAGTTTGAATTCGAAAAAATTAGCGGTTTAGAGAAATTCCTCATTCTATATGGCGTATTCACCACTTTTTGTATACGGAACCATATCGTGATTAATAAAACTGTTACTGCTATATGAAAATGTATTCAAATATGAAAAAGGTACAACATAAACTGAAACATTTCAAATATTTTAATATAAATGTGTATAAAACGCTTTATTTTGAACTATTCCCTCATGGAATTTTACCCGACAGAGCAGCTATGGCAAGTTAATAATTTTATTTATACCTACGTATGTTTTATAAAATAACATTTTAGCAAATTTGTTGCCACAACAAGATGGAGAAGGCCCAACATGAAATGTACGTAGACCATTTATAGAACGAAATAAACGAAGTCTGTTCAGAAAATAACCGATCCTTTTGAATTACTAGCTAATGGAGATATTTAGTGATATGCTGTTAGCAGTATTGCATTGCGCATAACCTCTTCTCTCATTATATGATATTGGGTTGTTGATATCTCTGATATCCCATTTAGTTTTCGTGACAATGTTATTTGAGTGCAATGTGTTTAAGTGTTATAGACGATGTTTGAAATATGCGATTTTCTGGAACAACGATGCAAGGTAAAATTTTGGTCAAAACTGGGGCAAACGTTTCAATTTTTGAAACAAGCTTACGTAGATGATCTCTGGATCGTACCCAATGTTACGAATGGTTTTCACGAATGTTGTCGTCAGTCAGTTGAAAATAATCCTCGACCAGGAAGGCATTCGACTTCAACTGATGACTCCCACGATCAGAAAGTCCAAGATATGGTGCGAGTAAATCGCCGATTGACTGTCTGAGAAATTGCAGTTAGCATCTCAATTGGGTCATGCCATAAAATTTTCACCGAAAAATTGAACACACATCAAGTTGCAGCAAAATTTGTTCCCCTTTAATGACATAACAGGAAGAAAATCGTGTGGATGTTTGTCGGTAACTCCTTAAACAATCCGATGAAACATTAATTCAACGAATCATAACGGGAATCGAATGCTGGGTTTACGGCTACGACATTGAGACAAAAGTTCAATCATCACAATGAATTAGCAAAGGATCTCGATTCCCCAAAAAAACACATTAGTCTCGATCCAATGTTTTATTAAATTTTAAACGAATTGTGCATTTTGAATTCTCGCGGTGAAACAGTGAACCAATTATGTACTGATAAAGTGTTTTACAACAGTTACATAAAAAAGTTATGTCGAGACAACTCATGGTTCTTGCACCATGATAATGCGCCCACACACTCAGTTTGTCAATTGGTCAGTTTTGTGTCGAAAATCAAATTACTGTCCTCCGACACCCTCCTTACTCGCCATACTTGGTTCCTTGCGATTTTTTCTTATATCCGAACATAGTTAGTGGTGAAAAGACGCTGTTTTCAGACTATTGATGACATCAAAGCATTCGTCACATATGTACTTTAAAGGCCATTTCAAATGAAGCTATCTACGACTGCTTCACGAAATAGAAACAGCGTGTGGAAAATTGTGTGAATCGGAGATGGGAGTACTTTAAAGGAGACAAAGAGCAATAGTAAGTATATAAAATTAATAATAAAGTTTAAAAAATAATGTTCGGTTATTTGCTGAACAGACCTTGTATTAGAAGCAGTTGTAGGTTCACAACAAACGTACAAAGGATGTCGGCCAAGTTTAATATTTCATAGATAATTGTTCACGGGATTCTGCAGGAACAACTTTCGTATTGAGAAAATACATGCCATGATAGTACGACTTGAATGCCCTCCTTGGTTTTTATATAAACAAAAAGAAGGTAGCACTTTTGTAGGAAAAGTACTTTTTACGGATAACTGCAGCACCAAAGATAGTGTGCTTAATTCTACATTTATAGAATGATGCGAATCCGGAAGATAATCGATATCAAATAACAAATAATCAATATCGATTTATTTCAATGATTGTCCGAATGGCTAACCATATTTGGGATTTCTTTACAATCACTTCCAACAACCATTTTTAGACAACTTTCCTGTCGAAATATATGGTTCATGCACGACGGTGCCCCCCTTCTCACTTCTTTGCTAATGTACGCATCCATTAAAATAATGGCCTTCCTAATAGGTACATTAGAAGAGGGGGATCGCTTCTAAGACCACCAAGTTATCCAGATGTTAATCATCTTTGTTACTTTTCGTGGAGGTTTCTTATATCTTTGCTATATTCAATGTCCACCGAAACAAGGGATGAACTACAGACTTCTTTTGTAATAATATACTTTTACAGCTAATATGGGAGTGCTATTCCATGTACAAAGGAATAACCTTGACAGGCTTAGTAAGTGTGTGGACATAGAAGACGAGCAATTTTAATACTTAATTTGATAGTGTTTCTTTGTGTAATACTTATTGACATTAAAATGTAATTCCAATCGATATATACAGAAAATGGCGGAGGCGCCGACAGTACGCACTGTCATATAAAATGGCTAAGTTCTCCTAAACAGCCAATTGTATCAACTACTAACAAGGGTGCATTTTGTTTAGTAATTAATTTACAAAACTTAATAAATGAAGATCGTGATGATGATCCCTGTAAAAATTTTGAATTATGAACTATGAGAAATAGTCCGTCCCTAGCGTTCAAGGGCTAATAGAAAATTTATTTATGTCAAAAAGGAAATATGTACATTTGTTATCAACCACTGAATTTGAATTAAATCGAAACACATAGTGTAGAAACTATATATACAATTTTCTAATTTTTAACTTGAGTCCCGTAACTCAGTAAAGGCTCGTATCACAAAAGTTTATATGAAGTGCTGGCTAATAGTTTTCAACACAGATACTTTTACATTCCAGAGTTTTTTACCATACGTCCTGGGACACGTTGTATGCAAATCAACTAATATTTATGAGCTTCTAAGTTTCTCCTTTTTTATCCTATTATATGTGATGATTATAACCTATTTTTAAACAATTTAAACTGACAAAATCATCATTATCATTATACTTGGAAGAGAATGGAAAATCCAGTATTCCCAAATATTAATAAGTATAAATTTAAAAAATTACACTGCTCGCAGTGAAAATTTAATTCCAAGCTCGAACACAGGAATGGCCATGTAGTTTTTATTGTCATGTAGTTCTTCAAAAAGACCCGGAAAATCATAAAAGTTGTCAAAATATATTTACAATTTCTCTGCACCAAATTATTCATCTACCTGCATCAATTAATAATTAAGGGAGAAATATTAACACTTTTATATTAGGAATAATTTAACTAATTATATGTAAGCTAAGTATCCCGTAGTTTAATATCATTAATTATCTACTGGCGACCCAGAAGTCCGGACTTCAATCCTCTTGATTTTTCTATTTGGTCTCGAATGAAAGATATAGTGTACAAAGAATCTTCACGCGTGAAGAGTTGTGGCAAAAAATACAAATAGCTGCCAACGAAGTTAAACGCAATCCCAATATGTTGTTTCAAACTCTAAAATATCTCAGAAAACGTTGTGTAAACAGTATGAGTGTTAATGATGGATTCTGCGAACAATTACATTAAATCATTATTACGTATTTCATTTGTTTTATCATTAATTGTTGTAATAACACGCAGAAACACTTAGTTTGTTTCGCTTTTAATTTCTCGTATTATCAAAACATAGTGTTCGTTAAATCGATTTTTCTCGAAAACGGACAGAGATACCGAATTGAAACAAGAGTACATAACTAATGGAAAAATTATTGCTTTTTTAATCAAGTTTCAAGTTAGACATACAGGGTAAAAAATTATTAATTAAATTTTCGGTAAAATTGATCGTAAGTGGCGCTCTCT